ATAACCTTTTGTTAGTTTTTGTTAGAGAAGATTCTCTATCCTTCAGAACATTGTCGCACTGGGCACGCGACAATATGTTTGATGGTATCGCACCTATAGATTAGATAGAGAAGCTCAAAGCCAAGATCGAGAACTCATCCAGGTCCTTTAGGGGTGACTCTTTAAGTTATACGCATTCATCTATCAAAAAATCTGATTTCACAAATTTTAGAGAACCAGTTCAAGAAATACCCGATTCGGATGGGGAAGAGGAGACGTTGAAAGATCCTATGGAGATTGATTTTGTAAAAAAGAAAGAACCCAATACAAGTATTGCAACTATACCAGTTAAAATCAAGCACTTAAAAATTTCAGCAATGGTGATTGATAGTGGAGCTGAACCTACAATTATATCAGAAGATATTGTTAAACGTGTAAAATGGCCAATTGATAAGTCAAAAATATATGATCTCAGTGGGGCCGCCACTGTTTCAACAGAATTTATTGGCATTACCCGTAATTTATCAATAATATTTCCTCCAGGTTTTACCATACGTGAGGATTATATAGTTGTGAAAACTCCTAAACCAATATTATTATTTCCAAATTCACACCTTAAAAAATATAAATGTGCTATGGGTTGTGACAAAGATGAGTTAAAAATTCCTTTTAATAGAAAAGATCATATCATTCCTGTAACTATGATCAAGGTTAAGAATAAGTTCGAAGTAAATTATGCTACTACAACTCGGAATGATAAGTCTTCGACATCCGATCAAATTTCACAGGAGACCGATGGGGATGAGGATGACAATGTACCATTCGACGAGTGGTGCGCTCCTGCAAGTTTTAGCTTAGATTCTGTCAATCTGACTTTAAAAAAAAAACGCATGAGCTATGAAGAGTTAAAAAAATTGCTATATGAAGTACTTGAATTCAGGTTTAAATTAATTGAACTCAATAAAAAATTGTGACTTCATAGAAATAAGCCTGAAGACTTTTATGAGAAGGTTGTCAATACTGATATAGAAAAGGCAAAGATAGATTAGTTGAGATTTAAAAATCTTTCAGACTCGCGTTCAGCTTCTTCTACTTCTCTGCGTTCACGTTCGATTATAGCATACATGTCATCTTCTCCTCTTACTTTTTTTGTCAGTTTATTGACCGTATCAACCTCATTAATAACATGTGCCTTGAGTTGAAAACTCGTGGCTCTGTCACTGGCACTAGCTCTGCTATTAGGTAAGTCAGAAATTTGAATAGATTTAGATCTCAATTTTCTATTTTTAACCTGCTTATCAGAAATAACATTAGAATCTAGATGTAGGTTTGAAGAACCATGATCCTTGTTAATTTGATACGTTTCAAACGCTAAAGTCTGACCATTAGAATTTTTAGCCACATTAGCTTGGTCAATATTTGGTAAGTGCGATTTAGGTATAGACAAATCCTGATTTAGGGGTGCTATTGAAGAAGCTGAGCTTCGAGTCTTCGACTCATCTGATACAGGCCGATACCATTCTATCATATCAACTTCTTGCCCTCTCCAAATTCTATAAAAATGGTCATTCGTCATAAGGTATTTTTTTCTTAATTCCTTTAAAACCTTAGTTTTGGATTTTGCATCACGATATTACATAATAAATTTATAATTTTCTGATGATAATGGAACTGCATCAGATCGCATACGTTTAACCATATTAATATTTTTGCTTTGTAGAAATATAGTGCCTATAATATTCATAATATATTTTTTTAATTATTTATACTACGTATAGTATCCATAATTAGTATGTATAGTACATATAGTATTCATAATATGGGTAAATAGTACAGGTAGTATGTATAACACACATAGTACATAAAGTACACTTAGTATACATACTACACATAGTACGTAAAGTACACTTAGTATACATAGTACATAAAGTATGTGTAGTGTACATAGTACATGAAGTATGTATAGTACATATTTTGTACGATTTATCTGTAATTTTTTATTATATATATATTTATTGCTAATATACATAGATGGGAGAACGGAACCTTGAGAAAGAAATACATCGTATCCTTCAATCATCTTCTAAATTGTGTAAATATAATAGTAAGTTGCGGGGTAAATGTATTAAGCAAGAGCAAGATTTTGATCGAGAAAGGGAAGGTTGGAATCGAGAGAGAAACAAGTTGGATCAGAAACTAGGAGGAGCTAATACCGAAACCCAGAAATTACACAATCATGCCTTGAAACTCATTGACGAGGTTAAGCGTCTACAGATTGAAAAAACCCGTCAAGATATTTCTCACGCAGAGTCTATAGCTAAGAATGCTACAAAAATAGAGGAGATTAAATTACTTCAGAACGAGATGAAATCATTAAAAGGTAAGTTGGCTTTATCCCAGAAGAACTCATTGAATAAAAGGTCTGAAATCGAATCTCTCAAATCTAAGATAGTTGAACTGGCCTTGAAAGTTAGTGAGCTGGAGCATCTGAAATCTGAGAATGTATTGGAATTCATTGTTGGTGGGGGTAACGAAAAAAATATATCCAAGCCAGTGTCACCGGTGGTCCTTGGTTTCCTCAAGAACTACCTAATAGAGTGACTTAACGGTTCTTTTAAGGAGTTTATAGTCCTTTCCCAAAGGTAAGACTGTTGTTTCATTATTTTAGAAGG